TCAGCATAGTACAAAAGAAAACTCTCCTTGATGATGAAGAATCTGTTATGAAAGCACAAACAGCAACTAGAAATTCAATAATAACATCACAGCTAACACTGCACATAATAAAGCCATTCTGTCCAGTGCAGTCATGTAAACACTACATGAAAACCCTTCACTGCTTCCTTCACAAATTCATAAATGACCAAAATAACCATCAATTTTAACATTCATTTTCCTGGAATTGATCTTTATGAGACCTAATGTTAAAAAAAAAAAACACCGGCAGCACAGAACGTCCTTATAGATCTGACTTACTCGGCTTTAATGGCACATTTAAAGCTCATCTCAGTTCAGTTTATAATGATAGGTTACTCAATATCATCTAAAGCTTTTAAAGTGCATTACACAACAAGGCACCACACAAAAATAATATGTGCTTAAACTCAGTGCAAAAAAAAATAAAAAATCACTACGGAGCAAAAATACTAATAAATCCATAACTTGTTCTTTTGCCTCACTGTACTATCTAGTAGTCTATAACATTATACATAAAACTCCATTGCTGACCAGAACAACAACAACAACAACAAATGCATTGTATATCTCTGTGCAGAGAAAGTAAAACAACAAACTCAAATAAAATAACTAAAAATATTCCCCTAATAATACAGTCTTATACATGCTTTTAATTTTGTTACAGATTGTGCATAGTTAGGTCCCAATATTACCTGCGGGACCACTTGGCTGAGGGCCTCCCAAAAGGTCTCTTCCACAGAACCCCATGCAGTTGCACTTTGGTGCTGATATCCAAAGCGTCCGAGTCAGCTTGATCCGTGGAGGTCCAGGGCGAGAGTAAGGAGGGTTTGGACGAGGAGAACATAGCTGACTCTTTCACAGGAAGTAGGAGAGGAGGAGGTGCGGTAAAAGAAAAATGTCAATAAAGTTCAAATAGTAGCATGCACACTCTTCAATAATCCTATAGAGCCGCATTCAAACAGACAGAGTTTATGATGCACTCACCAGTTATTCAGCGACGTGGAATGATGCATCTGCCAATAGTGACGTCAGCTGGTATTGGACAGTGTGGAAACAGAACCAGAGAGGGAGGGAGGAATAGATACCAGAGGGTTAGACCAAAAGGCTTTGGGAAAGAGTTTTTTTTTT